ACAAGAATTAGTAATCACTGGTAATCACCCTTAGACTGTTCCATCTAAGGGAGGATGTTGAAATACAGACAGCTTTCAGTAAAGTAGCTGTAACATTCTCAGTGTGATTACGCAGGGTAGTGAGGCAATCTTGTGTGACCCAGATCGGAGGAACTCCTTTCTTCCGATCTGGTAATGCAGACGACCCTGGTCTGAAGGACTCCCGTCTTCAGACCAGTGCTTATGCAAGTGATGCTTTCCACTAGGGTATATATACTGGTAATAAAGACTCGCACAAGCGAGGAGCTACTGATTCACAACGAATCCCTGTATCTTTATTCCGCCGTGATCTTCCAGGCTCACAGCTTACTTTCAGATCTAGTGTCCACCGACTGACCACCAGTGGGTTATATCCAACAAGTACCAGCTCCGAGAATCCTCCGGAAACCGCCGATAATTTTTGAGACTTCGCTGTCAGGTAATGCTCTATGATGTAAGCAAGCTTTCTCGGCAGAAGAGTTGAGGGTTTTGTCGATTTCCAGCGAAAAGAGCAAAATTCTGTCTGCCTTGCTAACCTCCATAGACCCTTCGAAGATGGGATTGCGACCGAACTAAGGAGTATTTCCGAATGAATACCACACGGAATCGTGTCCTATCATGAGGACGACAATTCCTGAGAAAGTTCAGCGCTCGAACTCACCTTACACTTGATTTTCACGCTTTTTTTCGAGAGCTGATTCCGAACCTCTGCGGTTCCCCTCGACCTCGTGCAAGAAAGGCGAAGGTAAAAGAAACAAGGTCGCGGCACAGTTGCGAAACCCACACACGCGCTCCCCATCCTTGCAGCGGCATTGGCTCGCTTACGGACGGGCCATTGCCACCACGGAGCAAGACGTCGAACAATTCCAAGCCGCGTCTAGCAAGCTATTCGAGAAAGGTTGGACGAACTTCCGTGGTTTTTTCCAAGGACCGGGCCCCTAGATTCACGAATAGCTTCTGCTATTCATCACCTTGGCAATGTGAGCATGTGTGTACTTAGCAATGTGAGCATGTACATACTTAGCAATGTGAGCATGTGTGCTCTAAGCAATGTGAGCATGTGTGTACTTAGCAATGCGAGCATGTGCGCATTTGTTGCTCTCCGTCCAGCTAGCGGACGGGATGCTGAATCAAAGAGCTAATCCACAACCTATGTTCGAGGCGGTTCCTTTCGAGTCGAATTCTCAGAGCGTCACCATCTCATTGGACTCCTGGGTTCTAAAGCTCTAACACTAGCATTAGCATGAAGCTCTCACTTTCGAGTTTCAACTCCATGAAACCTCGCGATGAGAGATCCGGAAAAATCAAACTCATATCCACAGCATAGAGCTGATCTTTCGAAATCACTGAGGGGAAGATTGTCTTCCCATTAACACTATTGCGAAGTGTTCCATCGAGAGAGAGTGTGATGGCAGAGTTCATAAATTCTTTACCCTCCAGATTTACTAATGAAAATCGGTGTCTTCTGTGGGCTCCCGCAGCGTATGCGGGATCATCGAGATCTGCTTCTGCAAGCGTTTCCTCATGCTTCCTCTTGCGTCTACGAGTCGTGATTCGGTCCTTCTTCGCGTCTCCGCTCGCACTACGCTCCGCTCTTGCAATTCTTTTCAGATCCAAATCCTTCATAGGTCCAACACACAAAGGTCCTGGTGTGATTCCACCCGCTTCAAGAATTCGGCAAAGAGCCACGTGACCATCGTTGAACTCAGAGATGGCGATGTGGACTCCTGTCTTGAGCTTCGGAAGGGATTCGAAAACTGTTTTCGGGATTTTCGCCCAGATGAGGTGGTTGACAGACTCATTAGGATTCTGGGTTTTGCCGTGAAGGCATTTGCGGAGCAAGCTCGAATCGGAAAGGTCCTCGAAGATCGTTCTAAACTCTTCGATGAGGCACTGAGGAAAGTGCTGATGTTCATTGTGATCGTATCCGTCCGCGTTTTGCAGAAACTTACACCAGGAGATGTCACACGAAGTGTGATCCGGAGACTCATTCGATGACTGGAGATGTTTGAATATGGCCCAAACGGCCCTCCGTATCTTCTCGAGATCGCTCGTATTTTTTCGTATGGCATTTCCGTAGAAGCAATGGATCTCGTCTATGACTGCATCAGTAAGGCGATTCTTCCCGCTCATCGGTTTTCCGTCTTCAAGTTTCTTACCTCTGAAAGCTGCTTTCAATTTCCGAAGCCGTGTACCCATCCTCTTCTGAATGAGCCCCACGCATTCTAACTTTTCGATCTTCAATTCACTCCCATACGGCTCGTCGGGTGAAACGGCTCTGTAAGCTTTGGAGTCGCCGTCCCCGAGGTACTTCACGTAGCGTATACCGTGGATTTCCACTGACCGTCGGAAGATTTCTTTGGCTCCTTCCACTTCCATAGCTCCACTAACACCCTGGAAATTCGCGAAGCACTTCTCGCCGTGAACATTGGATTTCTTGCCAGGACAACGACAATATTTGGAGAGAACGCTAACGTCGAGAACTTTGCCGGTATCGAAACTAGTCGCTGTAACCAGCCCATTCAGAGACGTGAAGCCGCGTTTTTGCCAGCTGCCATCGAGGGCAACCGCAATGTCGGTGGATCCATCGTTCAGGATAACAATTTCCTCCGCCGCCCGTTTCATCGACTCCGTACATACTCTCTCCGCCATTTTACTCAATATTCCCCAGAATTTTTCGTAGTGACGACAAGCGTTCGGCATGTCCATGAGGCCACAAAAGATCTTCATTGCCGACGCAACCTTCCCGATGCTCCTGAAAGCATGTGTGATGCGCACATTCAGGTTCCAAGCTCGGCGGCTCTCCCCTTCAAGGCGAATTCTTTCTGCATTCTCGTATGTCGCTTTATTTCGACAAAAGCTGCAGATGATATTGACTTTGATTGCGACTCCTTGACGTTTGACCACCGAAATCGTCAGGAAATTATGACATTCTTTGCAGACTGCCACCTTTTGAAAGACATCATTCAGTGCGCCGATATCTACCAGGTCGTACGTCGTGCTGCCGTGGTAAGCGTCGTATGCGGCAAGCTGACGACGGACCTTCATGGACGAACACTGGTGGTCTGTTGCTCCCGGAATAGAATCGCAATTCGCAGACGTAGAGCCGCTTGATAATTGGGGACCATCGGCGATGGGTTGAGGATCGGAATCCATGAATGAGGAGGGCGCTCGGTACAGGCCGCGCCGACTCAAACTTGGTTTGCAATTCCTAAAAACTTTTCCGATCCGAGGCATCTTTGTGAACTGAATAAACGTTCTCGAAATTACATGATTGTGCTCGGCGAGGAAAAAATAGAAATGACTCAATGTCGAGGGCTCATCATATCCACACGTGACCTTGAATCCCGTTTTCCCGCTTCCCCGTTTCCCCGCTTTCCCGTTTCCCCGTTTCCGCGTTTCCCCGTTTCCCCGTTTCAAAGTTTCCCCGCTTCCCCGTTTC